AATCCTGTAGGGGAATAGAAACATATTTCATAGTAGCCCCCAGTTTAATAGAAGTGTATATGGCTATTCACAATGATTCCTCTACCCAAACCAATTAGCTTCCCCACTGCGACTGAAGGAACTGCTGAGACAGTTTAATTGGATGTTTTAAAATGATCTAGGTGGTTTAGAATTTTGAAATGTAATCAAGGAGATACTTACTTTGTAATTAGCTCATCCTGCAATATTCTACGACAGGATCTTCATCTTCAAGGGGTCTGTTTTCTCAAGGGTTTGCTACCCATAAAAAAGTAAAGGTAAAGGGACCCCTGACCATTAGGTCCAGTCGTGACTGACTCTGGGGTTGTGGCGCTCATCTCGCTTTATTGGCCGAGGTAGCCGGTGTACAGCTTCCGGGTCATGTGGCCAGCATGACTAAGCCACTTCTGGCGAACCAGAGCAGCACATGGAAACACCATTTACCTTCCCGCCGGAGCGGTACCTATTTATCTACTGGCACTTTGACATGCTTTCGAACTGCTAGGTTGGCAGGAGCTGGGACTGAGCAAAGGGAGCTCGCCCCGTCGCGGGGATTCGAACCACCGACCTTCTGATCAGCAAGTCCTAGGCTCTGTGGTTTAACCCACAGCGCCACCCGCATCCCTTTTGCTACCCATACTGATGGACAATTTAACTTTTGTGTCCATTTCTTATTTCAAAGTTTAGATTTCTTACTCCAGGTGAAGGGATTATAAAGAGGAATAATTTGGATTTTCTGTCATCACAGCACAACAAACTGGCTTCCCTTTGCGACTGAACACATTCATCCCTGCTAAGGATTTGATTGGTTTGTGGCACTGACTGATGATACCTGTACCCCCACCCTCCCTGACAGCCACGCAGCATAGAAAAAGTAAGTCAAAACCAAACGCAGATAAGGGAGAGAAATCTGTGTATGTTTTGCAGATGGATGTTTGATGGCAGCACTGCTATAGCTGGTTGAAGGGGACCAAACCTCCAAGGAAGACGGTCTTGGTTCCATTTGACCAGCCAGAGCAGCACTCAGCGTCTGCTTTTGTGTTTACGCACTCAGGTTGACGTCAGGACCATCTTCAAGATCTCATACCTGCAACATGTAAAAATTGAAGTTTACAGAAATGCAATGGCTGATTGATGCTTACAAGTAAACATACATATGGGATCCTTTGTCAGATCAAAGCCCTAAGGACTCTTTTCCAACCATGAAGGGAGCTATAATTGGGGCTAACCTTACCACTAGGAGAATTGAAGCAGCTTCTTAAGGCTTTGTTGTTGTTGTTTCATAAAAAGAAGAAGAGTTTGGATTTGATATCCCGCTTTGACACTACCCGAAGGAGTCTCAAAGCGGCTAACATTCTCCTTTCCCTTCCTCCCACACAACAAACACTCTGTGAGGTGAGTGAGGCTGAGAGACTTCAGAGAAGTGTGACTGGCCCAAGGTCACCCAACAGCTGCATGTGGAGGAGCGGGGAAGCAAACCCGCTTCCCCTGATTACGAGTCTACCGCTCTTAACAACTACACCACACTGGCTCTCAAGACTTTCCTGTCCCAGTGGATCGTGTCCTTTTGCTGCTCAGAGGCACTGATGTAGCAGTCAGTAAACTGCTAATGAATCACCGCAGAAGAAGGAGGGGGAGTAGATGAGGAACCCTCTGGACCCAAGTTTTAGTAATAGTACATACATGTTTTCCCCCAACACAATAGATTAATCTGTTCAGAAAAGCGTACAAACCTTTTGTGGCATTTGTGCTGGTATGTTCAGGGAAGTTTTTAATATGTAACGCTGTACTGCTTTTAACACTTGTTTGGGAGCCGCCCAGAGTGGCTGGGGAAACTCAGCCAGATGGGCGGGGTATAAATAATAATAAATTATTATTATTATTATTATTATTATTATTATTATTATTATTATTATTATTATTTTACCTAATACTATGGATATACGAATGTTAAAACCCAATATACACCAAAATAGTGTATGTTGGTGGTGAGAAACTGTTAAATTTAAAAATGCTGACATTGCAATTCTACACACAACTACTGAGAAGTAAGTCCTATTGAGTTCAATGAGCTTTGCTTCCAGGTGGGAGGGTATAGGTTTGCAGCCTTAATGAGCTGAATGCTAGAGGCAGAAAAGGTAATAGAATCATCGAGTTGGAAGGGACCACGAGAGTCATCTAGTCAAACTCCCTGAATGCAGGAATCTTTTGCCCAGGATGGGACCCCGAGATTAAGAGTCTGTTTCTCTACTGACTGAGCCATCCTCCCTACATCATACAAGGAAGTATGGTAGAAGCTGACAGAGAGCTATGGCTTACTGTGAGGCAACATGACTAGAAAATAGTTCTAGCAGGCTGGCTGGAATGAAAAGTGGTCAAGCCTTCAGCACCTATAAGCCTCAGGATGCAGAACTGTAGGTGGATAATAGTTACGAGGCTCTCTGGGATCTCGTGGAGATACTTTAAAGCCGGGACACTTGAATGTTGCTTGGAAGGATCAAAATGCCAGAGGCTGACCCTGAACCTTGCTTTCGCCTCTCTGACCTGCAAGCTGATAGCCCCACTCACTTGGCAGCTGGGTTATTTGAGAACATTAAAAACTTCAAGATTTGGCATCTGTGGACATGCAGGGTTCAAGCACACGACACAGCCCCAGTAGCAACAAAACGACACGTTCTCCTTAAACAAATAGCAAAGAACTTAAAGAGACCCCTCTTTTGTCATCTGAATCACCTGCCAGCTGTCACTCAAGCTTCAGTTTTCACAAAGCTGCCCAGCTGTACCTCTGTGACAGCTGCCAGGGGCTGTTGAACCAGACGGCACGTGGCAATGCCTTAAGCAGGACAAAAGAGGCATTATTTGAGTTGATACCAAGGTGGCATGCCAGGGGTGTGTGGGGTGCGGCTCACCAGGAGCTTGGCAAAACTAGCTCAAAAGAAGCTTTTAATCAGGGAGTTTCACACTCTATACCAGGGTTCAGCAAACTTACTGAGCCTCGGACCAGTGTCTCCAGCACCGATCGCACCACACACTATTTCTGGCACACTCTTGGGTCGGAGGAGCACCGGAAATAGCTTGTGTGCATGTGCACGGGTCTCCTCCAACCTGGATGTGCACCAGAAATAATGCTTGCGCATGCGCAAATAACGCTTGTGCATGCACACAAGCTATTTCTGGTTCTCCTCTAACCCGAAAGTGGGCAGCTGCGTAGCGCAGCGGCGGTAAGGGTGGGTGGCGGCAGCGGGCAGTGGGGGTTGCTGCGGGCCAGATAAACGAGTCCCTCAGGCCTTATCCGGCCAAGGGCCTTACTTTGGGGACCCCTGCTCTATACCGGCAGCCGCCTCCTCTTTTCCTAGAGCCAATGTAGCCATTTGTTAGCTATGGGGATGTACCGACATCTGGGGGCTTCTACTGATCTCAGTAAGGTCTTTGTATTAGAAGATGTTCTTTATGAACATTTACCTATACCATGTAGAGGCATAGGAATCAATATTCAGAGAGTCACTGCCATTTTAACATTTGAGTAGCAAACCAGCGGTGTAGCTAGCTGCTCGGATGCCCAGTGCGGGGCGCGCATCCTGCAGCTGGAAGCGGGTGAGCCACCCATGGGGGCAAGGGGCGCTGGGTGGAGCCTCTCCGCTGCCTCCCCCTCTGCTCTAGGGCGGCTGAGGGAGAGGCGGTGGGCAGATGCAAGCCCCATGTGGCTCAGGCACGCTGCAGGCCCCGCGGTGTGGCACCCAGTGCAAGCCGCATTTCTTGATGTTTGTTGACTGAACTAAAAAGTTTCATGAACCCCCTTTTTTTTAATACTCATATTTTTGTCATTTTGTCAACCCCCCCCCCCCCAGTGATGACACCCGGGGCGCACTACACCCCTCACCCTCTGCCACTGTAGCAAACTGACTGCTCTTTTATCTCCACTTATTCCAAGGTTCTGCTGCTCAGGGTTGAAGCCTCTCCAGATCAGCTTTCCCCAACCTGGTGCTCATGGTTGTACTGGCTGGGTCTGATAGGAGATGGAGTCCAAAATATCCAGAAGGCAGAAGCTGCTAAAGTCTGTTCTAGAGTGACCAGATACAAAAGATGGCATAGGAGAAAATCCACTAGGCCTTGCTTCTCTACTCCCTAGAGCACGAGGTGACACATATCAGATTTCCTGATAACTATCAAAGTGGTGCAAAGGGTCAGTGTGTCTGGCTGTTGACCGGAAGGTTGGTGGTTCCAGCCCACCCAGGGACAGCTGTGGGCAGGATTCCTGCATTGCTGGGGGTTGGACTAGATGACCCTCAGGGTCCCTTGCAACTCTACAATTCTATGGAAGTCACTGAAGTCACACAGAGAACCAACTGGCATGTTGAAAGTTCAGGGGCCAAAAGGTATTAATATTGTGCTAGATCCCACAAATAGTTGGGTTAAAATTTTAATAAAAGTACATGCAAGGTGGTAGGTGGAACTATTTAACCAAGGGCCATATTAGATTTGGAGTAGTAATGGTTTGATAGATGATGGTACAGTCATACCTTGGGTTACAGACACTCCAGGTTGCGTTTTTTCAGGTTATGGATCGCCGAAACCAGGAAGTACCGGAATGGGTTACTTCCAGGTTTCGGCAGTCATACATGCGCAGAAGCGCTGAATCGCAACCCGTGCATGCGCAGACGTGCAGCTGTGGGTTGCGAATGCTGCGGGTTGCGAATGTGCATCCCGCATGGATCATGTTCGCAACCCGAGCGTCCACTGTACTTTTAGATCACAAAACAAAAACATACATAATTGGTTCAAATGTGTCATTCTTCAAATGGAGCACCAAGATAAAACATATTAATCATGTTTAAAGAAATCTGAGAACAATCCTTCATCAATGTGTGTGTGCAAAGGGCTCAGTAGAGTCCTCCATGTGTGTTGGTGCGTACATAAGCGAGTGTATCAGAGTGTTATGGATAATGAGAAGTTTGTGAGCACCTCAGATCTCTCCTCCAGCTCTCCTCCTCCACTCAGGGCTTATCCCCACATACTGTTTGCCCCACTCTTTCCAGACACAGCACTGCCTGGCTGCTGCTGCTGCTGCTGCTGCTGCTGCTGCTGCTTCTTCTTCTTCTTCTTCTTCTTCTTCTTCTTCTTCTTCTTCTTCTTCTTCTTCTTCCCCAGAGCTTTCCCCACGAAAGCTCTTTACTGCTCCATCAGAGCAAACATCAACTGCCGTTTCCTCCGGTTAGTTTTTGCAGGAAAAGCTCTGGGGCAAAAATAAAAATAAAAGGGGCTCGGACACAGAGCTTTTAAGCGCAGACCATGCCTAAGTGTGGCTAAGCCTTTGGTTAAGTTTTAATAGCACCCCATGGTGCTGGGGGTGGAGCTTAATCATGTGCCCCTGAAGAAAAGGACCTTAGCACTGGTCTTTCCATATATATGTCCTTATGTTCCAGAGCTAATAAAACATGGCCAATTCTCTTCAAAGTACATTTTGTGGACCTTTGTCCCCCCTCAGGTACATTTATCAGGTCAAGTGCACCCATGTTATGCTATATGTTTTGGTTCTGGCTGATTTCGGTGACTTTCTATTGATTCCAGCAATAAGTGACTTCACATTTTGCACTTTCTAAATGAAACCACCATTTCCATTCTCCAATTGCAATTGTTCCCTTCCCATTGTTATTGTCTAGAAGTTTGCCAGCAAAAAGACCAGTTAAACATAATTTGCACTTGCTATGTAGTACGAAGGGAAATGATTCAAAAGTCAGCAAAATCAAACAATACATTTCAAAATATCTTGGGGGAGTCTGTTAACAGGTTGCCATATGATTGCATGCATTTCAGTGAATGGAAGCGGTTTTGGATTTTTGAGCAAGTGCAGAAACCTTAGCAGGCTGTAATGGACACCTTAAATCTATTCACGCAGACAGATGAACAGGTATGTGCTTGTGTGAAAGAGGACAGACCTTTCCGGTGGTTTATCTTCTTGAAACCACACACTTCCTTACATTCCATAGCAGTATAATTCATATGGGGATATAAAGAAGCATGTCATCTCAGAAAGAGAAATCTGTTGTTCTCCTCTTTGTAGCAGGAAGCCAAAACATGTTCACCTCAGTTTTATTAAGAAAATATTGTTCAGAAGATTGAAATCTTATGCATGCCAATTCGGAGGTAAATCTTACTGAATTTCACAAGACTGAGAGTGCTATTCTATAGATATCTACTCAGAAGCAAGCTGAGTATAAGGAAAGTCCCACTAATACCAATGAGTTGGGGTATGTTCACATTACTGCTTGCTCCACATCCAGTGCACTCCCATGGCTAGCTTTGGAAGCCACATTCACAGAACATTAGCCACAATCCATATTGTCCCTGTAGTTTCTCAACAAATATCGCTGTTGGCTTGGTTTCCCCTCAAGCCAGCTTCAGTCCAACTGGAAAACTTAAACCACATTCACTTCATGCTTAAGAAGAGTGTGTGCATCATTTTAGACAAGTGTCGTGCACACAGAGATGAGCGCAGATGGCAGCTTCATGAATAGAGTTTCGGATACATGACAAATCTGAAGAATCGTGAATTGTGCAGGCTGTTTCTGTTAGCCAGATTTAATATGTTTCCCTCGATGATAGTGAGAGGAAGATATTTAGCTCTCCCAGAATCAGAGTGTCTCTGCAAATGTAGTAAACAGGAACCTGATACTTTGGAGCATATTTTCTTTTCTTGTGATTTTGGCATTTATGCCAGAAGACAATTATTAGAGGCCTTACAACTCAATAGGCTGAATTCTACGATACCAACGGTTCAGGACCTGCTTTCAGACAGGAATGATCAAATTACTTTAATAGTGGCTGAATTTTTGAGTGCTGTCCATGTAGAAAGACTGGGCCATTATAAAGAGATTTAGTGGTTCTTAACTGATCAGTGATGTGGTAGTGTTGTATTGTATTATTTATGCAAACTGATTTCCTCTGGAGTTAAAGATCTGACTGGGACAAACCTTGTTATGCTGAGCTCGTATTTTGCACAATTTGTATACGGTGTCTGTTTGATAATGTGTGGTTTGCTATGCCTAATAAAGGATATTTAATTGAGAATAGAATTTCCAGGCAGAAGCAGGGCTGGTGGGGGCAGGGAAGCCAAAGTGCACTTCAGGCGATGAAATCCCCACCCTCTGGTGTGTGCAAATGTGTCTTGAAACGCAGTGCAGAGAAAAGGACCATGCTCCATTTTAAGCTGCTAATGTGGAAATACCCTTAACTTTCAGATAAGTGCGTAAAGGATTTCAGATGTCAGTACCAGCTAAGTGTGATAGAGCAGCAGCCTCCGTGCATCAGATCCTATCCCTCCCACCTTAATGTGATAGTTATACTTCCTTTTGTTGACATTGGTAAGAAACAGTATGTGTAAATCAGTACCTACCCTTTTTGGTTACACATACTGGTTTCCCACATGTGCCAAGTACTTCAGATTCTATGAGAAAATTGAGTTTTCATGCACACACAGCAAGTGGAAGTAGAACTGGATCCAGTTTTTAAGTGAACTAGTGCATGTAGCATCCCGACGCGATCGATTTGTGCCATGCCCTCATGCCAGAGATTCAGACTGCTGTACCTGCAGTTCCCATCAGTCTACTAGCCACAATCAGACTATGCACAGGCAAAAATATTTATGGGACAATTGGTCTAAATTTCCCGATTATTGCAAGGACTGGGAGGGTGGCCATTACTTGAATACCAAAATGCCCCTCGGTCTATTGCAGCTGTGATGGCATATTGCTAAGAGCTAGTTTCAGGTCTTCCCTGGTTTTGCAGAAATCTGCAAAACTGATTTGGTCAGGAAATGTTAGCTCTACAAAACCACCTTCAAGTATCTGAAAACCAATACCCTGTGCAGATCTCCAGGGCTTGCTTGCCTTCAGGAGTGGAGCTGAATCATGTGCCCTCAAACTATTCTTCGTGGTTCAGATGTTTTTGGCAGAGTTCTGAGAAATGCAGCTTTCAGCTGAAAGAAGATAGTATGAGCAAAGTCCCTTCAGTGTTGAATTGCCTTTTCAGTGGATGAAGTGATCATGTGAAACAGTCTGATGTTTGTTCTGGTTGCTGGGAAGGAACGGATAGGCAGAGTTTGAGGTCTAAACTTTATATAATGAGGGAGGTCTGCAATTAGATATCCTGTTTCTTTAAATTTGAAAATGCAGGGCTTTGCCAACTGGTTTGGGCTTTTTTGCAGATAGCAAGGTGAATTCTTCGTTCCTTATCTAAATTGCCCTCTCCACCCCCATATGCCATCAGGTCTACAGAAGAAGCCCCGTGTGTGTGTGTGTGTGTTATAAACTGCTGTCAGTGAAACCAAACAACTACTATTTATGCTATTATCTAGTTTTCACAAAAGCAATGTCAGTTAAGGGATTGAGACTCACTCTCACTGTTTTGCAGATGTGTTCCTATGGAACTCATAGTGGGTGGAATCCAAAGTCGTACAGGAATGGACTTCCTCTCCTTGATGGGGGGCGGGGCTTCAGTGGGCAAAAGAGCAAAGAGAAACCTTCTTGTGCAAGTGGAAGCCCATTCCACCTGTGCATGGATGTGAGGGGCTTTCACCCAGAGTGACTAACTTCTACTTTAAGCCAAGAGGAATGCTTGCTTGAAGAGCCTATTGAAGTGTGAAATCTCTGCTAGCTAAAGGGCTGCACCCACCATCATTCACGGTATTTTCTTCAAATACCTGGATCCATTTCCTTCCCTTTCTAAGCTGGCTGGGTAATTTTGCATCGCCCACTCGCATCCAGCACCAGCTCTTTCCTTGGCAGGTGAGTTTGTGGAATCCTCCATGCCTTTGTGTGGCTGCATCCTTCTGCTGCACAAGAAGATATCTGGTTTGGGATGCAGGGTTGTTAAAAGATGGATCTAGCAACACACTTAACGCTGTTTTCCTCAACCCTCTCATAACCACTCTCAGCTCCTGTCCCACACTCAGTTGCAAAGCCCAGAACCAGATTGCATTAAAAAGCCTAAGGCTGAGGTCACATGAGTTAGAAATCTGTGACTGTTCACCGAGTTCACTGCATGTTTTCTATACATATGCAAAAGCAGCTAGAGGGAAGCATTACTAGACTGCTTTGAGTGCAGTCACTTGAAGTGGTGGTAAGGCTTTCCCCCCTCTATTTAAGAGAAAAGGTTGGGGAAGGGACACCCCCAGCTACTTCACTTTAAATCATAGAAGGGACCCCAGGGGTTATTTTGTCCAACCCCTTGCAATGTAGGAATCTCAACAAAGCCTCGGTGAAATTTAACCAGCTTTGTACAGGTCCTAAAGATGACAATGATGATTTAGATTTCTTACTCATCCTTCACCATGAGGTCCCAAGGGGGGTTATAGCAATTTAAAAATACAATATAATAACCAACTGAAATGAATTACACCAAAGAGAAAATTATATCTTGAGTGTTAACGGCCAGAGTAAAGAAGTGTGTCTTCAGCGTACAATGAAAAATGAATGATTTTGTAAGAATCCCACAGCTTGGTGGCTGCTGCAGAGATTGCCCTCTCTTGGGTATCCACCCCCAGACTTTTATGGGTGGTGGAACTACAAAGAGGGCCTCTGCTCACCCACAAGACGGTCTGTAGGAAAGGGGCCAGCTTTTCGGATATTTAGGGTCTAAGTCATTTAGGGCTTTAAACATGAACGTGAATAGGGTCCAGAAATGAACTGGTAACAAGTGCAGCTGGTCATGCGAGTTCTAAATGGAACCCCAGCCAGTAATCTGGTGGCTGCATGTGGCTCTGTAGATATTTCTGAGTTGTCTTCAAGGTGGGCCCATCTAGAGCATGCTGCAATAATGCAGTCTAGAAAGCACCAGAACATGGAATACAGTGGCGAAGTCTTCTCTGTCTAAAAGGGACAGAAGAAACTAGCCAGAGGTGAAATCAGACACTCCAATGCAACCTGAACCTCCAGCAAAAATGTTGGCTTCAGGAGTGCTCCCAAGCCACAGACCTGCTCCTTCCAAGGGAGTACAGCGCCCTCCAGAACAGGCTGCCTCCCCACCTTCTGAACTTGGGAACTCCAAATAGATAACATCTCTCTCTTTGCAGGATTCAGCTTCAATTTATTGGCCCACTGCCAGGCCATCCCCACCTCCATGTACCAATCTAGCACCTCAACTGCCTCTACTGATTCAGATGGAAGAGAGAAAGAGAGAAAGACCTGGATGTCATCTGCATATTGGTGGTACCTCACTCTAGTTCTCCTGATGATACTTTCCAGCTATTTCAGAGAAATGTTAAATATCATGGGGGACAAGATGAAACCCTGTTGGATGCCACAGGGCAGCTCCTATCATGCTGAACAGTGACGCTCACACAACTTATTTCTGGAAATGGCTCTGGGGATAGGAGCAGAACCACCAGAGTACAATGTCCCCCACTTCAACTTCCCTGTCTGCTGCAGAAGGACACCATAGGCAATGGTATCAAAAGTCGCCAAGAGGTTAAGGAGAACGAGCAGGGGCACACTTCCATCACCTTCCCTTCAAATGTCCTCAACCAGTGAGACCAAGAAAGTTTCAGTGCAATGGCCTGGCCAAGCTGAAATGGATCCAGGTGATCAGTTTCCTCCAAACATATGTGAAGGTGGGCTGCTGCCACCCTCTCAAGGACCTTGCTCAAAAAGTAGACATCTGCCATGGGCTGATAGTTATGTAACACTTCTGGATCCAAGGAGGTCCTCTTAAGTAGCGGAAGCACTGCCTCCTCCTTCCAGGTATATACAAACTTCCATTCCTCCAGTGAAGCATTAATCACTTACTGGGTGTCCCCAGTCAATTCACCATGGCTAGCTCTGAGAGAAGCGAAGATGGGCAGGGGTCAAGGAAGTCCACTCTTCCTCGAGCAGCTTGTTCCACATCCTCAAGCCACAATAACCAAAAGTGACCCAGTCAAATGGAACGGACTGTGCTCTGGACACCTCCACCAATTTGGTCTGACTGTGATGTCAACCTCTGTTGGAATCTGAGAGATTTTGTCCCCAAAGTGCCTTGGAAATTTGTTACAGCAGGCTGTATATGATGTCAGAGCCACATTCCCTTGGCCAGAGGACAAACTCACCAGTTAGAAAATCTCTGCTTGATGGCTACAACTTCAGGGGCTGTTTTGCGTTTCCTTCCACCTCAACCAACAAAAGGTCTGAACTGAATACTACTGTGCAACTACCAGAGTTTTTTTTCCAGCCAGAACTCACTGGAATTCAGTTCCAGCACCTCTTAAGTGACCATTGCCATTATAAGAAACAAGGGAGGCGGTCATAGGGAGTTCTGGCACCTCTTTTTCTAGAAAAATAGCACGGGTAACTACCCAGTACCTACCATAATGGTACCATAATGGTCTTAAAATTACGGTACATTCTTACCTATGAGAAAGGTATAATTCATTTAACTCTTATGCAAAAGCTTTCCATTGAGTGTGAAAACATGTATCCCCCTTTAATCAGAAATATAATCTCAATGTCTACCGAAAGAAAACTTTGCTGTTGTATATTTTTCCTTCTCTTCATGTATCCATGATCCTACATCTTGCCTATGAACACACTTGTGTGACTCTGAGGTTTCCTGTTTCGTAGGACTGGGAAGAGGTTGCTCAGTACATAAAAAACAACAGCACAAGCAGATAAGAAATGGAGATGGGCCTAGGAGGCTGGTAATGCCATAGCTGAACTCTGACCCACAAATAAATGTGTAACAGAGGGTGTTTAATGGGTAATGGATTGAGCTTGATCTGATGACAGTAACCCAATCATCTCTGAGCTATAGAGTGACACATCTGTCCATTCTTGGCATTTAAGATACGATAGGAGACAGATAGGAGCAGCTGTTTCAGTTTTACACTGTTAAGCGTGGTGATTTTTCCACTAACGTTGGGAGATATTTTAGAACTAGGTGATTGTACCCAAACAGAAGTTTATGCACTCGCTTGTCTGTTTGAAAGCTATCCTTTGAGTCTGGTGGCATGTGCTTGCAGTATGGTACCTTACATTTGAAGGACGGCAACAGACAATAGCTCATGCATGGGATTAGAATAGTCAGCTGTTGTGCACAGGGAGGACTGCACAACTGAAATTCCTGAAGCCACTGAATTTAAATGTAGCTTAACTCACCTATGCCAGCCCAATAACCTGTACTTATGTGTACCTTTCCCTTTATCGTGCAAGAGCCTGGAGAAGTGGCTCCAGATGACTTAGTGGAGACTTACATGATTTTAACAACCACCCAACAACTTCAAATTACGCATTAGCAATAGTTTGTAAAGAGCATGTAAGGCGACTGTTGCAACTATATCATTTCAGACTGTTGGTAAGAGAAATACATGTGTGAAAGCTTTTCTACATGGAAGCACACACCTGCGCCCCCGCTGCAAAAATCCCTGTATGAATGAAGCTCACATTTTACTGAAACACACCGAGTTCTCCCTCATGTACACCATATGCTGTTATTTTCTGCATGGAGGAGTATTTAAACAGGCAGTTGTCCACCTGTTGTCCAAAGTGATTTCTGAATGTATGGCTTGGCTCTCCAAGAATACACTTAGCTGCTGGGGGAGCAGGGATTCCATCTCTGCTCTCTCAGCCATGATGTTTAAGGCACTCCAACAATCCTTTGAGATATCTACTAGGGAAGTATTGATTGCCAGTAATGAGCTTCAGTTAGGGAATCGAGGTACACTCAGAAGGTCTGGAATGGCTCTCTGAAAGAAGGACCTACCACAAGCTGGGACTGGAGACTACGCAACAGCAGAAAGGGTCTATGCATGCTGTCCTATTCTTGCTTTAAACTTTTCTTGAACTTTTCAAATGGCTGCTATGTCACTACTCCCCTTGCCTCTCCCTTAATACATCCAGTGTGGTGTTCTTGCCTGTGACTTGTAGGGCCCCACTCTTCCTGAAACCAATATGAGGGAAACCTTTTTGAAGCTGCCTTGCCTTTAGAAATTATCTCATGCTTTGTTACTCAGTCCCAGATTTAGGCCAGAGGCAGGAACACTTCAGAAGGGAAGTCAGGAGAGAGGACCAATGCTAACTGTTGCTTCAGTGTTTTGTACACTGCTTAGATATATGTTTAATATATTAAGCGGAATAGAAATTAAATAAGCAAAACTAATCTAATCAATGTGGACAAAGGTTTAAATGCCTACTCTCAGATATAGTCGTGATTAAAATGCAGTCTATATTGAGAACATTAGTTGCAGTTCCTTTAAAAAAAGAAAAGAAAAAAACCCATAATAAAGCAAAGTAATGATATTAACAGAAGTCAGCCTCCTTTTTAAAAAAGAAAGGAGAAAACAAATTTCTATTTTTTCACATGCACTCCTAATAGACTAATTTAACTGTTTATTATAAATCAGTGCACCAGACAGTGAGCTGACTAGAAATAAATGTGACGCTGACATTGGTCCAAAACACAGGTGGTTGAAGGAACCTTTGCCTTAGCATAACTGTATGTAACAGATGGTGGCAAAAGTAGGTAAAACAATAATATAGCTTTGAGGTTGTAGAGAAGGCCACCAATTAGATCCTGATGGGCCCTTTTACCTCACAAGTTGCCTAGTCAGAATCCATTACTTTACAGGCCACCTACATGCCGTCACAGCTTCTTCCTAAAATGGCCACCTGTCTCCAACTCACTTCTGCTACTCCTAAATACTACAACATACCCTCCAACATTTATCCAATGAAAATAGGGACGTCCTATTCAATAATAATAATAATAATAATAATAATAATAATAATACCATGCCCATCTGATCGGGTTGCCCCAGCCACTCTGGACAGCTTCCAACATATATAAAAACATAATAAAACTTGAGACATTAAAAAAAAATTCTATACAGAGGTGCCTTCAGATGTTTTCTAAAGGTTGTATAGTTGCTTATCTCCTTGGCTTGGGGGTCATACCTCATGTTACGTTTGCTTCATGTTATGTTTTTTCAGGTTGCGTCCCGCGGCAACCTGGAGGTACCGGTAAGGGTTACTTCCGGGTTTCACCGCTCGCGCAGTAGTGCTAAATCGCGCTTCGCGCATGCGCACAAACACCAAATCGCGCTGTGCACCTGCACAGATATGGCGCTTCAGGTTGCGGGCTTTTCACGCTGCGAAAGGGCCTCCGGAACGGATCCCATTCGCAACCAGAGGTACCACTGTACAGCAAAGCATCACAGAGAAGTAAATGTATTTTGTGTTTGCCACTGCAGCCGCCCCATGTATAACCAGCTGAGTGCATTGTTGAGGGATAATGCTGGACCCAAAACAGATAAGCCTAAGACTTATCACCAGGACTGCTTTTAATACTGATGGAACTTGGAATTATAATATGAAAGAACTCCAAGCGACAAACACCTTAGAGATGAGACAAATTAGTAGTGACTTAAGGATTCCAATCAGTGCGAAGCTGGTTTCAGAAACGACACATCAAACAATAGGATGCTGTAAGAAAGTACAGGATACACATGCATTTCGGATAATGTCCCGTGAAGGCTGCAGTGCAGTGAGTGCACAGGTAATGGGGGTCTGAGCACCATCTATGTCTGTTGGCTTAGCGGAGCATTACTGATGTGGGCACTTAAAGAATACAGCACGGTCACCACAGAAGAGAACCACTGTTCTGTGGGAGGCTGCACTGGAGGATTTACCTAAAACCTGTAAGCAAGAATTTAAATATGATGCAAATCACAATTTCCTCTGAGCCTCTGCTGCTTCAGTCGGAATGCCACCGAAATGTTCTGCCCCAACTGTTACTCTGCCCTGGGTAGAATGCTAAGCTCATGAGGAGGAGCCTTTGAGTCTCTGTGAATATTGCAGGCAGAGACTGGCAAACCTTTCCTTAGGTAAAAGACGGAAGGCTTTGATGTTTAGAGAATATCTATTTATAATATTTATTTGAAAAGTTTGTTTCTTGGTTTTCAGTATCTAGGTCTCAAAGCAGCTTACAGCAATAAATATATAAATTTAGGGTAATTGATTAATAACTTTTTCATACTAATAATTTGCCCTCAGTCAGGAAACTAAATGAAAAACGGGAATTGTTTTTTAAGGCAAGGACTTCAAGAAGTGTAAATGACAGGTGTTATTGAGCCCCCTGGAGGTTAATAACACCAGCCATTTAAGATGGTGATCGTGGGACAAGAATTAATGCACTCTCTAAAAACAAAATATGCTTTCCATTGAAAATGTTAACTGATTAATACATTAAAATTCATTTGACTGATCAGCTACAATTTATTTAATTGGCTTAATGCCTAAGAAGAAGCTGAAACAGATATGGTCCTTTAGTTCCAGCACTTGAAAATCTACTCAAAGTGCTATGTCCAGAAAGCAAGAAAGAAAAGCATGTAGATTTGCAAACAAATAAAAACAAAAAAATAAATTCATGCTTGGGATTTGAGGTGAATTTGGGTGCTTTTTCATTAATGTTATGTGTCATGGTTCAGTGAATAATGTTGTTACTCATTGATTATTGAAAACACAATGTTTGCCAAGCCAAGACTCAGGGCTTGTCTATGCTTCTGCCTAGAAAGCAGTTTCTCACTTTCCCCGTGCTTTCTAGGCATGAGCCAGAGTGGTTTTGTGTTTGCCTGGAAAACACATTCTTTACTGCTGAATTGGAACTAATCTCTAGAAAATCTGATTGCTGTTTTCAGCAGAAAACCATGGGTTTCCCCAGGGAAAATGGCAGAGCATACCTACATGGGAGTAAGCATACAATGGTACATTTAACTTATAAATAAACCCATATAGGATGTTACCCTTAGCATCCCTATGGAGTTATTACATCTTTGCTGAGCGAAGAAACACAACCGATTGGCTAATGAAGTTGTACTCCAACCCCTTGTAATTTCACATTGTTTAGCAGATAATCTCCACATTTTCAGGTTTTCTTTTTCAGCCAGGAGAACATTAAAATATTTCTTTAAAATATTTCTAAGGGGAAGCGCTCAATATTGTTGTCACAGCTATCAGATTCTACACTGCAGATGTGATCGTGTTGTACGCTCTTCCATTGTGATTGTGGCCCTACAAACCCAAGATCATGGAGAGGGTCCCTTTGCTTCCCTTTAAAGGTGACTTTTAGTTATAGAATGTACCATTCATCGTCCTAAGATTTCATAAAAACTGTGTTTCCCCTTAGTTTGCCTACCCATGAGACAGCCCAATACAGTTAAGCCATGTAATAAACGTTAAATAGGAGGAGGGGTGTGCTGATTTCCTCCTCCACCTCTAAGGCCTGTGCAAATGACCTGATGATGAAAAAGATACAACTTATTTTAAGTTTAAGTACAAAGGAAGCAAACATGTGGTTGGAATATGATTATCGTAATCCTAGCCAGAGAGTCAGGATTGGCTGCTGTTCTCTATCTAGAGAGG